GCCTAACCCAAGACTGAAACCAAACTCAATCTAAACTAAGTCTAATAGAAAACAAAAGCCAAACTATAAATCAGTCCAAAATTAAACGGGTTAAAGAATATATATATATAGTCAAGAAGAAAGGTGTTGCACTAATAATCAAGACTTTCAATCATCGAAGAGAGCTTTAAATCTCAATATTGTAGAGAATTTGCATTTACAAAAACTACTTACAATGAGAGAAGCAAACAAGTAACCAACTTCTTATAGATATGGGCTTACCACCATGATAAAAAAAAAAAAAGTCATTCATTCTACCAATTGCAACAGTTTTATCAAAATGCACAAATATATGAGGTATAAGTTTTGATCACACTGGAATTTTGTATAATAAACCACTTAACCAATTGTTTCCTTGCTTATTGAACCTAAAACAATGAGCTCTTCTCCACCATAGCCGTGTTATGGTCTACTTCTAGATTCCAACCAATAGGTCTAAGGGTCCATTTGATTAGCAAATGTGGAAATACTTTTCAATTCCATGTAAATTGGAAAATAAAAATTCAAATACCCCATAGGAATGATTTTTTCATGAAATTTGCAAAAAAAAAAAAAAAAGCTTAAAATAGTTGTACCTTGGAATTCGAACTCCATTTTCACTTTCGTATCAAACAATCAAAGTAGAAATTGAATTCCTCGGATGTGACATTTTTTATGAAATTTAAATCAATCAAATGGACCATAAGAGTTCTCCAGTCCGAGTTCTTATGTTGGCCATCCTAATCCTCTGAGGGAAGTTGAAGAACATTTCTGCAAGGGGGCTTTTAAGTGAAGCAGATCTTGCTTTAGAGGCTGAGGTTCTGAAGAACCTTGACAACACTGAGGGTTGGAGGTTACTAGGCATAGTGCATTCCCAGAAATATGACTATCAACAGGTTACGATTGTTAATTCTTATACCTTCCTCGAATCATTTCAAGCTCATTCATTTAAAGTCTTCAGCCTACCAACTTGGCCTTTTTGGAGTTGCAATGACCAAATGATTTTTTCTTTCTATGAGAGACCTTTTATTGCCTCTTTAAGACCAAATTTTTTTCAGTATGGGTGGTTTTTGGCATATTTCCAAACCAAATCCT